CAATCTCGCGTTACGACGTTATACGACGTTATTCCGGAACGAATGCGTTTCCCGATTCGGCGATTGCGCGCCCTCGAGCACAAGCCGATGCCTGAACGCGAATGAAATGAGTGACGTGGATCGATTTGTACCGTGCGTGTTATTTCTCAGCTGTCGAGGGTATTTTATTTTCATTCCGACCAATCTGTGTCAATTCGATCCTTCGTCATGTACGTTGATTAATTATCCGAGTGTATCTACCGACGTATTGATGGGTTATCAAGACGCGGGTAAAGTTTGCGGTATCGCCGGCAGCTTTTATGCCGGCTGTTTGCGAAATCGCGCGCGCAATATCAATTCGACAAGTTAATTCCCGATGCTGTGTGTACGGGCAAAACGGGCCTTACACCGAACATCCCGGGTCCCATTGGCGCGCGAATGACTTCTTGTGTATCTGCAACATCGAAGTATACGAACCCACATCGAAATTATAGCGGTTTCAACCTCCGCTTTAAATGCGCACTTTTATCGTTTATATATTTGCTCACACCGATGTACTTTCCGCGCGTGCACACGTATCGCCGCGTCCGCGTTTACGTTAAATACAGATATTTCATATTATTCCGCCGAATAGAGAAATATTAATTTTAGATATTAATTTTATACAGCACATCAATTTTATATTTTGTTTATTTTGTACGTCGCTATAATATGTGTATCTCGTTTAATATATATAATGCAGAAAGATCGCGCGACGTTCGGACGTGAATACACGAGCGGGGAGATGTGTGTGTGGGCGCGCGTGCTAACGTGCGCCAATTAATTTAAATATTATTTGCGATGTCTCCGGAAAGTATAACAAGACCCGAAGAGATATTCGAAACTGCGCTGCCGATAACAATGAGCGAGCTCTCCCGACGTGAATCCAGAAATGCAATCGCAGCGAGAGATGACGTCATATGTGGAATCGGCAACGTCACGCAAGGTGAATGTCGTTTTTATCATATCGCGTATTGTTAAATTAATGCCACATATGAATCGGATGTTCCATAAAGGACACACGAGTGCATTGCGAAAAAACGAGCGTAACGGAAAATACTATTTTTGCGGTCGCTTTTATTTCCCGTAAACGCCACAGTCTTTTATAGAGTGCCGGGTGCTGCATGCGACCGCCGCTTATTAAATGTTATCGGGCAAATGTCATTGTGAAAATAAAATGAACGTCCCGCTTTCGGCCGGAATACAGGCCGCCGGTCTTTTTACCTTTGCTTTTTTTTTTTTGCAAAATAAATAAATGCGAGACAATTCGAGCTTCGGTGGCTCAACAATAGAGGGGGAAAGAAAATAAATGAGAAGGAGAGCGGGGGGAGGGGGGGGNNNNGGAGCGGCAGAACAACATTTAGCGAAAAATGTCAAGGGGGCTAATGCGTGGCGTGGTGTAGAAGTGATTACAGTGCCGCCGGAGTTATGCGCGCGTGTATGCCCTTGATAAATGCCGGCCGCGCGCTAAAATCGAAGTTTTTATACGGTTCCGTTAATCCGCGTTTCGCCGCGATTTATTAAATTCACGCTGGCAACCGGTCAAGCCGGGGGTGTACATGGGATTGGACATTCACGTTAATTTCGTTTCCGCGCGCAAACGGTTTTTCTTTATTTTCACAATTTGCGAATGTGCGAATTGTACGTGCCAGTTCGACGGTCCCGGGGAAACGGGATTACCCCCGCATTGTGCGTCAAAATGTTTTATCGATAGCGACGATGGAATTTATCAGCGCGCGATGACTAATGGATCCGCGGCTCGTTTAGAACTGTACTCGCGCGAAACACTTCGGCGGGCGGGAGGGGGCAGGAAGGGGTGCGGGGAGGACGAGGATCGCTAAGAAACGAGGAACATTATAACTTACGACGCGACGTACATTGTGCCGTTAACAATGGATGCCGTAATATCGCGCACTTCAGCTTCGTATTATGCGTGATATCTCGGTTTACCGCCGCATAGTTGATTACCTATCCCGGAATAACTCTGGTTTACCGCTGCATAGTTGATTGGCTATATCGAAATAACGCGAGTTTATCAGTCCGACGTATTAAAGCGGCACATACGCGCCGCACGTGTCGTCGGTGCTCGCCGACAATGTGTCCGACGTTGCGATAAGAAGTTTTCCAGGAACGCTTCCGTGTCGGCGAATTCATAAACATTCCTCGCCGGTCCACGACACACCTGCCAACCGTTTCTTCGAGTCATCCATCTACTTTGCACCCGCTTCGCATATTAAATTTCCGTTGAAGCGCGAGAAAATCGCCGAAAAGTCCATGGTAGCGTTCATCCGCTGTATTACACACCCGGGCGCAAACATTTGATACTTTCTCGTGCATCAAAACGCGCGTCGACACCGTAAAAACGAGATTTCTGAAACTTATATCGAGTGTCTCCTGGCTTTCACGCGCTACCTTTCGCGCTCGGACTAGCCGATCGCTTTGATGCCAAGTTCTCCTCGGATTTTTCTGTGCTAACTCGAATGCGGACCGCTGAGTCTTGGTCATTTTTACGAATTTCTAAGCATATTTCTTGGAATAAACAGTGAGTGAATTTTTATTTTACTATTTGTAAAGTGTGGAAATACCCAGAAAGGAAATAGAAAATTAAAGCAAATTTAATCTAAAGGGCGGAGCAGCGTAAAGGGGGAAAAATTGGATTTCGTCCTTTGTAGCGACCCTATTTCAATATTGTTTGTCTGAGGAATGTAGAAAAATGGATTTATTAAACAATAACCTTCAATATCATACGGGAATCGGGAACAACAGAACCATAAAACCGCGTTTTTTCAATGGGTTAGAGGGCAGGGAAGCACAAGGAATACCGTATCATCAGGCAAGATATGAAACAGACAAAAAAGGCACAATGGCGCTTATGCGCTTGTCGTGTTTTCCCAGAACGAGTTGCACAATACGCAAAACCCACTGGATATTTTCCCGGCCGTCGAACGGACGGAAGTATCCAATCACCCGTATTTCGAGCGGAATCCATTGGAGGGCCAGATTCAAAACACCAGGATATAGATTATCGGCGCACGATACTTTTCGATTCCGCGGGGTACGAACGCGATCATAAAATTGGGGTTGCCAACAGGGACGCGCTAGTAGCTGCCGTCACATCCGTGTGTAATCTATTGACACACACAGTTGCAGTTTCAAAGCTAGGTTCTAAAACTAGTGCTCGGCTGTGGTACAGGATTAACGAAGTACGTACCCGCGCGACAGCAACAAAATGGGACTTGTCGAAATTACAAAATGTGGCTTGTCCGTCGCGACAAAATTCGACGAATTCAAACTGCGTGCACAGGACGATTGTAACTTCACAAGACAATTACTGTTCCCCTTCAGATTGGCAGGATCAAAATTTGAAATGGCATTAAGAATCGTCTGTTTCTTTTGTAAGGATCATTGGAAGCGATTATTATGCCCGTGCGCGTGTGTGTATTTGTGTGTGTATGTGTGACTTAAAATTTGTTTTTATAATTATACAGGGTATTCAAAGAAAACCATCCAATATTTATATGGCAGATAGTACACGCTATACTGAGTAAAAAAACCTTAGTAAACAAAAGCTGAACCGTTTCTGAGATATAAATATTTGTCTATGTTAGCATCATGATTGACTTACTGGTTTCTACGCATGTGCAACCTATCTACCATATAAATATTGAATGGTTTTTCTGAACATTCTATATGTGCAAATGAAGGCTGGAGAACAATTAAAACGATACACGAGCTCGCGATATTTCATACCGCGCTTGTGAGCATAAAAAGTCGAAATGAATATCACATCGGTAATTTCCCCTTTTCCAGATTTGCAATAATTTTAATCCGACGTGCGGAAATATTTCATAATGCTTATGTGCAATGACGTGTAATGGTCGCGTTGACCATTTCTGTTCCGGACGGAGCTGGTGCGGGCAACATCCACAGAAGAGAACGCGGGGATCATCGGCGCGCCTCCGACCCTGCACATACACACCGTTCGGGGCGACGAAAGTTGAAGCGCCGGCGGGGGTTTGCAGCGGGCAAAGGGTGGAAGAACGGGGGTCGGCCGGCCGGAAGGTAATGGGAGCGTAGGTTATACCCGTGGCCGCTCAATTAAATCTCGTCGACGTCGCGTGCAGGAAGCAGGCCGCGGCATGCACCGGAGGCTTCCTTACCGATTTCGAGTGGGTGGACCCCGCTCTCGAAATTTATTAGTCCGTGCGACCGACCGACTAATCCAGGCCCGGATAGCCCGAGCGTGCGACTATTACCCGCAACGTACGCTGCTTCATCGCAGACAGGTTGCCCGGGTCATCGAAAGGGCAGGTATGCGCTCGTGCGCTCGCGTTTACGATAAAGCGGGAACATATGTCGCGAGCGTTCTTTTTCGCGAGAATCTTTCCGCACGTCTTCTGGATTTTACTTTCGTCGATTCGCCGAGCAGTTTAAAAATTTCCTCACGTGAATCCTCGCCACTTGAACTTGACTTCGAATCCGTTAAGTCGCGATAGAGTGGTGAGAAACGTGAATACCTGACTGAGCTGACTACTGATCGACCATAACCAAGCTATTTGAGCTTGAACTCAATTCGGGAAAAGGGAGAGATTATCGACTTGCTACGTGTGTGATTCGTTTCGGCTTTTTCTAACAACTCAAGTACATTCGCGGGCTGGAAGATGCTCGATTTAAATCATCGCGTTCGGTCTGACCAATTTCACGGGACAACGTGACGCACACCTCCTCAAAGTACACTTCGCGTTAATGTTGAGATATCAAATTAAACGAGCGGGTCTTCTTGTCTCTTTACAATTACGCCCGAACCGACTTGTTTTATTTTAGCTCGGCTCGCCTGCAATAGTATAACGTTGTCGCGCGAAAATCCTCGCTGAATAGCGGGGTCGCGCGGCCGGCGAGGGGGATTTATAGGACACGGGGGTGTCCGAGAGCGGCGGTTTATGGTACGCTACGGAGCAAGCGGAAATAAAATTTATATTCACCTCTTTCGGGCACTGGCTCGCGTACACCCGCGCCGAGCTGCAGCTCGCTCACCGCCGAGTATATGCCGGGGATATGCGCGGTGCAACGTAGAGTCAGCTGGCCGTTCGTGTAATGGAACGGTTGCAGGGTGAGACTGACTTCGCCCAATTGCGGCCCCTCCTCGTCCTTCATCGGGTACTTCACGGTCTCCACCTACGACAAATCAAGCGTGAGCTCGTCCCGCCGAACGTCAAGCGCGAAAAGGTGCATCGCGAACGGCGAGGGATGAGAACGACGGGGGTGGCGACGCTGGGAAATGCCGGCGAGATGTAAATCTGCTCTCAACGAGATCCGTTCATCCGGAATCGAAGGCCGAACTCTTGCTCGTTCTATCCACCCTCTCCCCATCCGCCCTCGCCCTTTCGTCATCCCCGCGCCCTTCAACGGCGTCGTCCTGCGCCAAGTACAAAGACGAGGGTTTTCCAGTTCGATGGAAAGTCGGAGGACTCGCTCGTTCCCGGCGCCGTGTTCTTCCGATTAATGCCCCCCCCCCCTCAATCTCTCCCTCATTCTCCACCTTCTCCCCCGCTCCTGTTTTTTTTTTCCTTTCCTGCATGAAATCGGTTCTCGAGTCGCGGCGACGAGTGAGCCCGTCGACGAAAGTATTGGCCGGAATGACCGAGTTCCGGCTTCCTTAATGGATCATTATCGTCCCCGGGAACGTGACGGCGTCGAAAGTGAGTTATTCGAATGAATTGTACGGTAGAGTGAATTGTAAGTGAATCGCGAGAAGTTTACCTAAACTTTCGACGACGTAGGCGACGACAGATCGATAGAAGCCGCTGCTTGTTCGTACGTATTGTCCCCGACGGCGCGACGGAATCCCGCGGGACGTAATTTTTGCGCGGAGCGAACGGTAAACGCGATGATATCGCGGACTCCCTCGAATGAACTTCCGAAGAGGAATTTTCGATTTTCGATGCGGGAATATTGCGCCAGTATCGTGAATATCGTCCAGAAACGCGCGTTTAGTTGCGAAGGACCCTCGCTGCCGAAATATCGCTTCGGCGATAAAAGTTAGACAGAATCCATGTATCCACGATAAATATGAAATTCGCCGCGCGTGCACACACACGCACACACGCATCCACTTTCCATTCGAACGTCAGTTAAACCCTAATAATCTTGCTTAATAGTTTCTTAAGTGATAATAATCTCAGTAATAACATAATTCCCGGTTCGCAGTGTTATATGCGCACCTGATGCCGGCGTGCTTCGAGAAGATAGTTGTTGCGAAGTTTAACTACATTCACCGTTGAATTGATGGTAAATTATATCGAACATTTTCCTAATATATAGGCGATGCATTTTTCTTGTCGATCACTGTGCAAAGTTACTGAAATAGTCAAGATAGAATAAACGAAATTTTTATATAGCGAGCCTATTGTCGACACATCCTATAGAAACCGAGAATGCTTACAATAGCAAGGAGGAATCCTTGAACAATAATTATGAGAGAAACGCAACCGAATCTTGCGGGCTAATCGTCTCGAATAGCAATCAGCACTGTAGTGAAATCCGATCTTAGGAGGGTGACTTGTGATCGTAGTCAATCAAACGAAGCCAAACAGAACTAATGAAAGGATCTCACAGTGAAGCCACTGCCGTACAATAGTACGGAATATCACAACGACGATATCGATTCCGTAATCCATAAGTTCCCCCGAGATCGGGATTGCTTTCAGTATTACCGAAAATATTTCGAAGTTCAAAAATGAACTACTGTGATTCTGAAAGCGGCAAGTTTTAGATATTATATATTACATTATTAAAATACATCTCCTTTTGTGTTAAATGTATACACGTATATTTTGCATATAAATTATATTTCGCGGGAAGTCGCTTCAGAATAATATAATAATTTAATAATAAGGAAAATAATTAAAGAAAATCCGTTAAAATACTGTATAATTCAGTTATGTTTCAATAAAGCGCGATGCTGTTTAATCTTGAAAACGCGATCAAGTTATCCGATACGCGGATAAAGCTCAGCTCGCGAAATTATATCGCAAGACATCACGCGAATGAAAGAGTCGACGCGAATGTCTATAGAGAAGTATATCCGCGCGATAATTGATACGTCAAGCTGTTCACGCTACCTCGAGCAAACAATATCGGCGGAGGCGTGCAAGCGTCACGGGAGCACTTGCTGACTTTACGTTTTCTCAGCGCAGGAATTATGCAATTCGCGCGATCCGGTATGATATACGGCGGCACGCGCAAAAAAGCATCTCGACCAATGATTAATGACCGAGTAGCATTGATGCTTATCCCCTTGCCATGGTAAGTGCACCCGGCCGAATATAAATTCCGCTTTTTAAACAGCTACCGGCGCGAAATTCAATCTTGGAGGGAAGTGAGCGAAAGTGATTACAGCGGTTGAATACAGATTATGAGAAGGCGGCCGCTACGTCATATTTAAGCGCCCCGGATTTTCTTTGTGAGCGTCTAAAGGGAAGGCTATATCGTCTCTCTCTCTCTCCCTCCTCCTCCTCCTCCTCTCTTTCTCTCCCTCCCGATATGTGTCCCGCGCGATGGGAAATTAAAAAAACGCTTGAGTTTACCTAACGTGAAATTTTCTATTATGAGATTAAATGTGGTCGGTACGTCCTATTGAGGAAAAAACCCGCTCTAATATTACTTGGTGCGTTATAAAGAAAGACGCGGGCGCAATTTGCACATTTTTGCAAAGTCACATTCTTGCGCAACGTNCGCGCGTTATAAAGAAAGCTTTGACGCGGGCGCAATTTGCACATTTTTGCGAAGTCACATTCTGTGTACTTGCGCGACGTCGGATCTCGATAAAAGATTTTTGACTGAAATTCTGCACGAGCTTACGAGAACATCAAAAATCAGGCAATATCGTTGACTTTGTTCCTCGACCGAGAGTGCATGACTCGACGAATAAAAGGTAAGTTTTGCGAGATCTCGCGAAACTTTCTTTTCGAGTCTTTAATTGCCTACTTTCGACAAAAGTTTCAAGGATGCACTCTCAGGTGCATCCTTGCGCTTTAAGAGGGCTTGATTCCTTATTGGTCAAGATTTTATTGCCACCTTTCCTGCGGAAGTTTCCAATTTCTTACGTGAAATATTTCGCACGCATTAAATCTTACGTTAAAATATTATTAAAGTTATACCAGTCAGTGTGTTTGGAATTATGTAAATATTTCAATTTGGATATTCGCTTCTGCAAAGCTTTAAAATTATCAAAACGCTTTAATTTATAATCGTGCGCATGAATTTGTCCGCAAACATTTCTATATAGTTTATCAGAGAAATTAGGAAAGAAATTGACAAATTTACAACTCCTTTGACATTCATCGCAATTGTAATAATTGTCGGAAATTTACGTTTTAAGGCCTAATCGATTTTTCGTAGATATTTCACGGAATAAAAAAGTATCCAAAAGAAACGTTGTAAAACGTGAGTAGACGTTAGTTACTTCGCACACATCAAGAATGCCGAGGTAGAAACGCTAACGATGTTTGCCTCGCATGCTTAACCGCATTCTCTGGAATTCCCGCATTCCCACAAAGCCTATATAGGTTAAGATAGATATAACTAATGCCACGTGTAATCTAAGTTAAGTAATCAAGCGAGAAATTCACGACCGACTTAAAGCGGACGCATTCAAAATACTTCTTATAAGATTATGAAGACATTTGCACTATTATATGTGCCGTTTAGCGAAACGACGGCGTCGCATTTTTCCTCACTTTAAAGAAACGAAAGGACTTTTGAAAGTACTTCATCTAAACTTTAACCACTCCGTCGTAATGCTTTTTCAAGATCCTACAAAGAACGAAATATAAAATCTCGCCTGTCCTGTGAAATAAAAAAGCGAGAAAACTGCTTACGTAAAAATCCTCAAATTACCGTCTCGTCCGAACTATATTTAAAAATTGACCGAGCAAAATAAATTGTTGTTCTCGATGTACTCTTCGCATTTCTGAATCTTGAAGCGATCCTTGAAGCGATTCTTAAAGCGATTCTTAAAGCTTCCTTAATCTACGATATTAATTTTCAAAGTGGGTCGCGTTTAAATTACCGTTAAAGGAAAAATCGCCTTCGCGGTTATCACAAATTACTATCGCGCTCTTGATTTACGCTTCTTGCGGGACAGGCCCGTATTTTCTCATTTCATTATTCGTCATTTGAAAATGGAATTCTTTCTTTCCTCGCTATTCAAGGCGCAGATTACCAGAAATGCAATGGCGAAAGGGGAGAAGGGTGGGTACCCGCAAGCCATTACATAGCCGCGTACGGTGTGAACGCGAGCGAGATATGAAATCTCGCAGTAATGCACATTTAATTGCACGTACAGTACTTGTTGAATCCATGACGGGGAGGAAGGCGCATGCATCTGAAAACCAATATGTTCGATTGATATCGCGAACGTGCAATCCGATTGGTATCGGAGAAACTACGACCATCTCCGCGGCAAGGCGGAAATAGATTAAAAATCTCCTCGCTACAAGACAAATGAGATTTCTACAAAAAATTATCCCAGAGAGAGAATCGTTTTATCCGCGCGCGCGCGGGCACGAAGCGCCGTTTTTCTCGCCTTTCTTCTGATTTCAATCGCGAGCGAATTGCGAGCAGCCCGCGGTAGTCGCGAGAAGCACCGGGAGTTAGCCTCGTTATCGGGGCGGGCTCTCGCCGCCCCGATACGAGATACACGTTAAAACCATCGCGCACGGTTTAATTAACGGAGTAGACTGGTAAGAACCTCTCGTCGGGGGTCTGCCGAGACGACGGGCGAATGACGGATAAGGGGAGGGTGGATGGTCGTCGCGGAACAACGACGACGGCAACGATTACGTGTCGACGTAGTCGGAAAAACGATCGTCGCGGCGAACGACGCGGTTTACGGCACCCTGTGACGACGAAATGCAAGAGCGGCCACATATATGTATACTTATTGGCGCAAGCACCCGCGACGCACTAGCATACCACCCCTTTTGGCCGCATCGAGTCGCATGTATTTACGTAAAACGACTGCGAGCGGCGGGCGCGCACCCGGGCTACCGACACACACGAGGAGGACCACCGTCGCCGCTACTACCGCTATGCCACACGCCACGGGCTTACGCTTCGAAATGGACTGCAGTCCGGGGTGTGCATTGCATCTAAGGGCGTAGCCATGCGAAACC